TCCGGCCGGAAAAGACCAACGCAGAACGGTTATTAGCGTACAAGGTATAGAATCTTGGGCACATTCACCAAAATGCCTTTTTTTGAAATCGAACTAGAAATTCATGACACTGAGTAGTGTCCGTCTGGAAGCAATTTTTTTTTGCCAGTGGGGAGGCAACCCTGTCGGCGGGCAAAGTGGCCGGGAGAGAAACCCGATAAAAAGGCGTTGAGCAAAATTGTCAAATAATTATTCTTTGCCGGAAACCCCGTTCCCCGACGAACGCTAACACTGATTGCTCTAGATCATGAGGTTTCTACTCAAATATGGTGTCTACAGAAGTAACTTTCGCACATCCAATCATAGCATCAGTCATATGCCAAACTCATCTAGAGATAAACTCAAAATAAAATATCATCTCTTCAGAGCCACCAGTGATATCACCAACGACATTGTCAGACTACACGACGGTTGAAGGTGATCGAATCGAAATGAGGTGTTTGGCTAACGCGAATCCACCTCCGGTCATCACATGGTCTAGGAAAGGTATTCCTGTCTCGGAGGATATGGTTGGAATTCATGTCACTGAGGGTGTGTTCATTTCTTTAACATCAATTCGAATCTCGCTTTCATCCGAAAATAGACGAATGTGCATTTTGCATTCATTCAACCGATTCATTGACTGCTCATTCGCAGACAGACAGACTCAGAACACAAGATTCTTTGAAGATCTTCTCTGCATCAACATGCTGGTGAATTGAATTACAAGCCAAAAATAATTTCAGATGGAACCCTAGTCATAGAGAATGTTGTGAATGATGACGCAGGGCACTACACTTGTAAGGCGTCGAACGCAGCCGGTGATGCTGATAAGGTGATACGCCTTAGCGTCATTAGTAAGTTTCTCACCCTTCTGATTGTAACCAATGTACACATACCTATATATCCACTTACAATGATTCATTTGGACAAGAAAGCAGCCAAAACATTTCCACTTCATACTTGTCGCTGAGGATTATTCAAAAGACACAGCATCAAGTAACCTTCTAACGTATGCATTCTTTTCAGTCCCACCAGATATACCAGATCAAGATACTATTGTGAGTGAAGCTGTCGTTGTTGGACAGCCATTCAGTCTTTACTGTCCGGTATTTTCAACTCCACTGCCTCAGGTGAATCTTTATTATTGATTTTGAATTTAGATGGTTCATTTTATCGCAACAAAAATCTTACCATTAGCAAAATGTTCAGTCATAGTGAGCTATAAAAGTTTCACAGCTTTGTGACTATGTATGGCATATGCGATACTTTTACTTATGCTAGCGACTGCGCAGTCCGAGAGCTAGCCAAATGATTTACTGTTCGAACTCGGAATTTTTTTTTGCATGGACTCAATTTCACTACAATTTAACATACTGAAGATATCGTGGCATTTGGACGATCATCCGGTGGCTGACGGTGATCCAAATATCCAATTATCTGACGATAAACGACATCTACATGTGCTCAGGTCGAGACCCACTGATACAGGCAACTACAAGTGTGTTGCGAGGAATCCTGCCGGTGAATCATCAAAATCATTTCAAGTGGAAATTCTTGGTAATTTTTTTTAATCATTCGATGTTCTTATCAATTTGACTAATGATTATCAAAAGATAATTGGAACACTACGGAGTTGGACTGTTGAGGATATTCATTTGAATGTTCCGACTTTCAAACCACTTCACAGACTCCCTTTAAGCTATCCAAAACCAGAAGAATGATCTTCTTAAAGACACCACGATACGTATTTTCTTCAAATTACGTATGCTTGTTAACTCGAAATTCGAGAATCAATGCATGTGCTCGTTTTTCAGTTCCACCCAGTACTGATGAATCA